TCTCATGGATTAAATGTCTAGGTTAAGTCTATTACGAGTTTTTGGCTCATTGAGTCAGAAGCCACAAACCATATGACACATTCTTCACAGAAATTTAGTACATATACCTTGTGTCCTAGTAATAAAAAAATTGTTATTGCAGATGATTCACTTATTATAGTGGCAGGATTAGGAGATGTTCAAATTAATCCCTCATTTGTTCTTAAAAATGTTCTTCATGTTCCTGGATTGTTTACTAATCTGATATCTATACAAAAACTTACCAGAGATATGAACTGTAAAGTGACTTTTTATCCCTTTTATTGTGAATTTTAGGACCAAAGTTCCGGAAAAAAGATTGGACTTGCTAAGGAGAAAGACAGACTATATTATCTTAAGACATCAAACAACACAAGTAATATCAAGAATAGTTTACCTTTGTCATTTCTTTCTAAAAAATCTCTCAATAAGGGCAAAATCTGCCTATATCATTTTTGTGTTATACATCATTCTTTGGGAACTTTGAAAAACATGTTTCCTTATTTGTTCAAAGGATTAAATGCCAAAAATTTTCATTGTGATGTTTGTGAACTTGCAAAGCATAGATGTGTCTTTTCCAGTTAGCAATAAAAAATGTTCTACGCCTTTTTACTTGATTCATAGTGACATATGGGGTCCCTCTACAATTCTTAATATTTCAAGTGCAACGGGTTTTATTTCTTTTATAGATGATTATACCAGGATCTTTTGGATATTTTTACTTAAATCCAAATCAGATGTGAATATTATGTTTTTAAGCTTCCAAAACATGATCCATAATCAATTTGGAGTGAAAATCAATAGATTTAGGTCTTGTAATACAAGAGACTATTTTAATTAAAGTTTATCTACCTATTTCCAAAAAGAGAGGATTATCCATAAGTCATCTTATGCTAATACTCCACAGCAAAATGGAGTGGGAGAGAGGAAAAACAATCATTTACTAGCCACAACCCGAGCTTTACTTTTTCAAGCAAACGTAAACTGTTCTCATTGCCACACATATTATAAATAGGTTAACTTCAAGGGTTTTGGGATTTAAAACTCCTAAGGAACTACTATCACAATTTTATCCCACTTTAATATCACAAACAACCTCACAACTAGGATATTTAGTTGTACATCATTTGTTCATGTTCACAGTCACAATAGGGGGAAGTTGGATCTTAGAGCAATTAAGTGCATTTTTGTGGGATAATTATCAACTCAGAAAGGGTATAAGTGTTATCATCCTCCTACCAAAAAATTCTATGTGTCTGCAAATGTCACTTTTGAAGAAAGTAAACCATATTTTACTCAACCTTATCTTTAGAGGGAGACTTCATTCATGGTAAATAAGGATAAAGACTTCTTTTTGCTTGATTTGTCCTTTTCTTCAACATTTTCACCCATTAATTCTTCTGAGTAGAAGCTTGTTTCTTCTGAGTCCAAGTCAAACACTAAATTTGAGTCTAAACCCAATCCAAACACAGAAGATGTGACAAACGATAATATTGTTCTTGATTCTATGAAGGAATTACAGGTGCACTCAAAAAGGAAAGTTCCAGATCCTGCACCAGTGCGAGTCCAAGAATTTGATCCTAACTCTAGAAATAAGGTAACTATAATCTTTGACTCTATTTCTCACAATGAGCATGAATCTCCTAAAACTATAACTAGTGATTATGATCTGCCTATTGCCATTAGAAAAGGAACCAGAGAATGTACTAAGCATCCACTACACCTAATCTCTAATTTTGTGTCATTTGAAAAATTCTCACTATCCCAAAAAAATTTCGTGTGAGCCTAAACACTATTTCTGTTCCAACTACATTATCCAAGGCATCATCCAGTGAGAATTGGAGGCAAGCCATGAAAATAGAAACGGAGGCCTTAGAGAAAAATAAGACATGGGAACTAATAGAGTTGCCTAAAGGAAAAAATCCAGTTAGGTGTAAATGTGTTTTCACTATAAAATACAAGGTGGATGGTATTGTTGAAAGGTATAAAGCCAGGTTAATGGCTAAGGACTACACTCAAACTTATTGAGTGGATTGTCAAAAAACTTTTGCTCCAATTGTTAAGATGAATACAGTTAGGATTTTGTTATCATTGGCTACAAATTACAATTGGCAACTTCAACAATTTGATGTAAAGAATGTTTTTCTACAAGGTGATTTAGAAAAAGAAATATATATGAAGGCTCCACCGGGATTTGGAGGTCATCTAGAAGCAAACAAAGTATGCAAGCTAAAAAAGGCTTTATATGGCCTTAAACGGTCTCCTAGGCTTGGTTCAGGAGATTTGCCAAAGTGATGCTAGTAATGGGATATAAGTAGAGTCAAGGAGATCACAGATTGTTTATCAAGCACTTTAATTCAAAGAGAGTCACAGTTTTATTAGTTTATGTTGATGATATAATTGTAACTGGATATGATGAAAAAGAGAGAGAATCTCTAAAATAGTGTTTGGCTAGAGAATTTGAGATAAAAAAGCTAGGGAGATTGAAGTACTTCCTAAGAATTGAAGTAGCTCACTCATGGCATGTTATTTTCATCTCACAACAAAATTATGTGATGAATCTTCTGAAGGAAACTGAGAAGCTCGCATGTGAACCTGCAAATACCCTTATAGACCCTAATCATAAACATGAAGAAGCTAATGAAGACGCTGCTATAGATAGAGAGATGAACCAAAAATTAGTTGAAAAACTCATTTATCTCTCACATACTAAACCTAATATAGCATATGATGTGAATGTGATAAGTCAATTTATACATAGTCCTAAAGAAGTGCACCTACATGCTGTTTACCATGTATTGCACTATTTGAAGGCCAGTTCTGGAAGAGGTATCTTATTCAAAAGAAATCCGGACCTGGTTCTAGAGGCATATATAGATGCTAATTATGTAAGTTCAGTAACTGATAGAAGATCCACCTCATGCTACTGCATTTTCCTAGGTGGTAATCTTATGACTTGGAAGAGTAAAAAACAGAATGTTGTGGCAAGATCAAGTGTTGAAACAGAGTTTAGGGTAATGGCTCAAGAAATTTGTGAACTACTATGGTTAAAGATTATCCTAGAAGACTTGAAGATCAAGTGGGATGGACCAATGAGACTTGCTGTGATAACAAGTATGCAATAAGCATTGCACACAGTCCTGTGCAACATGATAGAACAAAACACATTGAAGTAGGCAAGCATTTCATAAAAGAGAAACTAGAGAGTGGGTTGATTTGTACATCGTATGTATCAACCAAGGGTTACCTTGCAGATCTGTTGACTAAAGGTCTCAGCAGTGCAACATTTCAAAAAATTATTTCCAAACTGGGAATGGAAAACACCTATTCACCAACTTGAGGGGGGATGTGGGAAAACACTTATTTACAGCTAATTGTAATCTTGTAATCTGTATATTTATATTTGTATCTCTAGAATTAAAGACAAAAAATTAGGATAGACAACCCTCAATTATAAGATCAATTTTTAGGAAGATTTAGTTTCCTAATTTACCCACTAGTTAGTTGTATATAAACCTAAGATGCGTGTTTAATTCTTAATGAGTAGTTTTCCAATATACATTCAGTTTTACACTTAGTTTTTTCACACAGTTTTATTTCTTAGTTTTTCCACAATATATATATTATTTTAAGTTTAACTAGGCTTGTGTTTTCAAGAACTTTAGCCAGAACATCTACTTGAAAAATCCTAGGGATTCAAGTTTTAACAAGCCATGCTTGAACATGCTATTTTCAAACTCACATGAAACTCAAGCCAAAGCCTGAACAACTAAGGACTCAACTCAATGAGGGTTGATTGCACCCCTATTTGAAAATTCAATCCCCAAAAAGTTTTGTTGATGATATAGCAGATTATGCTCTTATTTACACTTATCAGATCAACATACAAAATGGCATGATGATCCAAGACATGGCTAAAAAACCATAATTGAATAGAAAAAAAAAGAATTAATAAACTTTTTACAATAAATGTCACCCTTCTTTTTCTTATTACCTTCAACATATTACCTTTCAACAAGTCCCTAAACTTATTTTTAAATTTCTTTTGAAAGTTTCTTAGAATTATTAGCTGTCACACCCCATATAGAGCAAAAGAAATAATATTTTCCCTGCATAATCCTGAAATTAGCATTAAATTTCTGAAACTAGAATTTATCATTCGTGTTTTCAAACTACCCAAATTCATATTTGTTCTATTCAAGGATTAATAAAGAAGCAACTAATGTTTCTTACTTGTACAGGATGAATATTCCAAAATTTTGTTGCTATTGTTTGCAAAGGACATAATAATCCAGATCTAATAAGAATGCAAAGTTAGCCAGACTAGTGTTTTGGAGGATTAGTAAGCACTTTTTCCTTTTTGCGTAGAATGCTTCAAACACTAATGAAATAAACAATTCAACAGAAAGCATTTTTGTATCATCTTTTCTCCTTTTGACTTCTTAAAATGCAAGAAATATGATTTGAAAAGGATGGAGCAAGTATTTCTATGCAAAAAGGCTATGTTACTCAAACTCCTAAAAGTGAGTGTCAAATATGGGTAAGTGTCCAACACAAGAATATTCAATCGTTTTTTAAGTTTTTTCATATATTTAGAGGGTTTGAACTCCATACTTATGTTTATCAAATATGCATCATAGACATGCACTTTAAGGAAAATGTAAAGTCTGGACAACAAAAAGGTAATGAGTCCTCACAAGGCTTCAAAAAATGAGTAATCTCTATTTAATGTAGTTACTCATAGCAGCATTAAACACACATAAGTGCTCCATGGCCATGCTTAAAAGAATTGATTAAGCACAGGCTCTGCTATAAATCTAAAGACTCCTTTGAATTCAGCAGAAGGAAAAACTAAAAACTAAAGGTCTATGGGAATCACTAAATCAGTATTATATGAAAAAAAAATAAAAACAAAAAAAACATTCTTCAATAAAGGCTGATGTAGGAAGGAAATGATCACAGATGAGATAAACTGACTTAACTGCAAGATATACACGAGCTCTAATAACAAGAGGAAGAGATCTTTGAGGATCTGTCATTTCTCGTAACAACCTGCGGAGCAGAAAAGGAAGGTCTTGCAGTCTCTGCACAGAAGAAAACCCAAAATTCAGATGTCTAAATAGGGTAGCTCTGCAAAAAGTCAAAACATTGAAAGTCCTTATAATTGCCTCTGAATTTTGTACTAATAGGTCAATCCTAGGATTGAATGAGTATGGTATATATCTATGATAAGTGCACGAGAATGTTAAAGTTGAAGAAGTTCCAAGATGCTCAAGATGCTAGTTGGTATAAAGATTGCTTAAAACAATCAAGAACAATAAACTTAAAAATTTTAGACACTCAGAGTGGTATGTGATGCAGATAATTTGTATGTTGGGAAAGTGGCGCCATCTGCAATATTCAAGATCTGCTATCTCTGATACCAAAAATGATGCAGCTAGATGCAACATAGTAGCTTGAAGCTTATGGAATGAAGAAAGAAGAGAGCAGAATAGAAGGGAGAGAGAGAGAGAGAAAAGAAGAGAATTTCAGATTTTGAGGAATTTGTTGTAATTTATTCCATGAACGCTACAGACTGTACTCGCATTAATTATAACAACCCCAATTTTACTCAGTTGTCCATTCCTCAACAAATAACTAACTTGCTGACCAATTTAACAGAAACAGTTAACTACTAAAAAGCTTGACTAAAATGGACTATTTCCGGACCTCATAGTCCATTTAATTTGGCTCATAACATAAACATCAAAGAGTTTAGAATTATGGTTTCTATTCGGAGGTGGACATTTTTAAGAAATTCCTTGCATTGGCCCGAAAGAATTATTCATTCTGTCCTAATTTTATGTTTGTTTATGCTAAGGATTATTGGTTGATCATCCTTCCAAGTTTCCTTCAATTTGAAAGTTAAGATAATTATTGTACATCACGGTTTTGATTATAAGCAATGCAGTAGCATCTAGTTCTTACTTTCAGTCAAAATGGTGATGACACTTAAAAAAAAAAAATGAATCACACTTTCGCTTTTTATCCAAAAAGTTGACACTTTTATTCCTTGGTCAAGGGCATTTTTGGAAATGAGATCAAATTAAGATAAATGGTCAAAGTTTTCTTAATCAATCTTCACATTAAACATAGGACTCTATTTATGGAACAGACAAGCAGTATACATTTTGACACACTGGTAAGGCATTACATTACGTTGAATTGTTATTTTGAGAAAAACAAGAAAAGAAAGAAAAGAGACAAAAGTTAATAACCTTGCATTGATAAGTAAAAAGTAAGGTTATCTCACAGAATAAAGGTTGTTAAGTTGCATAGCAAATGCAACAGATGCAAATGTACACATACCTGAATGAGACCATTGGATTGTCCACCAAAGTAATGGTTGTATTTTTCAACCTTTTCCAGAATCTCAGCAACTGCTGAGTTATGACGCTCCCTTAATGAAGCCTCACCAGGAACCAACAATGTAATCGGACGTCGACACAGGGGGCATTTACATGGGTGAAATGTGGATCCATGATGCCAAACAAGCATAATACAATTACCTAGATAATTGTATGAAACCAAAAAAAAAAAAAAAAGAATTATTTCATCATCAAACAATGGTCAGGACTACATATTGTATCCACTGGATAGACTTAAATTGATGCCATATTATTTTAGAAGAGATTATCATACAGTCCAAATTTAAGTGGTCCTACCAACATAGCTTATGCAATAAGCCACAGCTACAGAAAATAAAGGCTTAGCAGTTTTTAACTCTACTAAGTGAGGTATAAGGTTTAATATGTATTGGAATTGATTTCCCTGAGACAGGAGATAGAAGGAGTAGTCAGAAAGCAAAGCAAATAAACAATAACTGAACTAAATTTATTAATAAAATAACATTTGCAAACAGAAGTAGGTACTAAAGGTTGATTCAGTAGGGTGATAGGATGATTAAGCTAGCAATATGTGGTTTTAGATGTTTTGAAAGGACAATAATAATTGAAAGTAATAGATATAAATCAAACAAGAAATTAAGAAACAGCTTCACTGTGTTTATGCTGCAAAAATAAAGCATTACTTGACCGATAGATCTGTGATTAGAGGGCGGGCATAGCATATGTTGAGAGGGAAAGAAACAAGTCAGGAAGATGGGGCCTTGAGGTTATAAAGGAGGGATAGTTAGGTATAGCAGATTCTGAAATTACTCAGTATATTATGAGAAATGAGGGAAAGAACAAGAAAAAGGAGATAAGGACAAAAGAGAAGTTCAGGCTAGAAATTTCATAAAGGCACGAAGAAAAACATTATTGTCACTAAATTGACTCTTAACAATTCCAGAACAACAAGTATTTGTATGTCTTTCTGGACATGTATTTCTGTACGGTGTAAATCTCAGTAATTCTAATAAGACTAAAATTCCTAATATCATAAGATTTAGTAAACTTAAAAATCCACGGAAAACCAAGACTCAGCTCCAAAAAAGACATAATTGACCATAATTTAAATGGTTTCCAACAGAACAGAAAATTAAAAAATGAAATCAATAAAGTACAAGACTAATGACTCAACTAACTACATGGTCTCTTTTAATTTCTTCCACAAGACCTGATAATTTATATAAAAAATGAGATCAAAATCGATAGCAAATTGAAAAGGCATAAAACCTGTATAATTATGATATAAAGACGGTCTTTAGTTTAACAATTAAATACTACACAACGTTAAGGACAGGGATGGATCCAGAAAATTTTTTTACACAGAGGGGGCATGCCTAATATAAAAGCTATGTAAAATTTTGTAAAATTAAATGCAAAAATTAACTTCAACAAATTTTTTCATAGTATAAAAATTCAGATACCTATTTATGTTATATAAACTGTTTTTATTAGTACAAGAAAAAGTTTTTTTTTATTTAGAAAAGGAGCACTTTATTAAACCTAAATTCAAGTCATTTATTTGCTTTTGAATTTCAAAAGAAAATGGAAAAAAAAATCACTTCAGACAAAAACAATAAATATATATGAATGAAGAATTAAACAAATTCAATTTTTGAATTTAATGAATAACATTCTGTGCAATGTAATATTGATATTAGTGTATGTATCAAAGAAATATTAACTATCTACTTGTATTTTTATTATATAATGAAGATCACAAAGTAATAAGCAAAAAACAAAAAGGAAATCCTATATATTAAGATCGTAACAGAGTGGAGCTTTAACTTTTAGGAAAGAAGATATTTGCCATTATGTATTGATGGATAAATATATTTTGGACAATTACCTAGCTAACAATTTAAATCTTTTGGTTAAGCAATTTTAAAATGGTATTAGGTAGTCCATGACTCGAATACAGTTCACGTGTCCGAAATCTAACATATGAGTTTGCATAAGAGAGGTCTCATAGTATGAATAAAGTTATCCAATAATTTCAACTTTTGAGTAATTCTTCACATCAATTATCTTGGTTTTTTATAAAAAGATGAAAGAAATAAAAGATAGGAACGCATTTTTTTTTTCAATTTCGTGGGGGCAAAATTAAGATTTTTACAAAAATTTTACATATTTATATATTATATTAAAGGCATTTTAGGATCTGAGTCCGTCCCTGCTTGTGCATAATCAACATAATTGAGAGACATATATCATAGCAATTGTAGAATTTTGACTCTTTTTCATCTCATTCCAATTGTTTGTTGGTACTTTGGCATCAAATCTTTTCCCTAATGCTATGAACCCAATTAAAACAATAAAAATGAAATAAACGAAAATCCTAGAGAAATACAAAATTGGAATATATGAATTTGATTTTCTTAATACTAGCTATTGTTCGTCTCCTAACAGCAGATGTAAATGGCCATCAACATTTTCAAAAATTAAAGTCACAGAAAGAATTTACAGGAAAAAAAAAGGCACATTTTCATAATCCTGGTTTAGATCAAATAAATTTTAATTGAAACATATGAAAATTGTAGAGTAAGAAAAGAGAGGCACCGCAGAACCAATGAGAGCAATTGGCTTGGCAAGGAACGTTAAAGCTTCCATGGCAAATAGAGCACCAATCGTTCGCCGGAGGCCCCTCCATCGTCTCGCGCGAATCTCAATTTATTAGTCTCATCAAACACTGGATTCATCGTTTTGGTAAAAAAACAATCTGCTTCATATCTGGGCCGTACCATTGCAGGAGCCCACTCAACGTCTTCGACCGGCTTTCCTCGCACTCCTACTATTTCAAATATTTTAATAATTAATATATTTATCTCAAAAAAAAAAAAACTGGTTAATTCATTTTTTATTTTCCATTTTAAGAAAATAACTAAAGTGATTTTTTTTCAAATTCTGATTTTCTTAAAAGTTTATAATCTTTTAACTAATTTTGAGCCAAATTATCTTTAAACTTCAATATGACTTAGTGATTAATCAAAATACCTAAATCATGCATGCAGTATTAAAATGTAAAATTTTGTTTAAACAAAACAAAAATAAACAAAGCAAGAATTTTTTTAAGTTAAAAGATTGAAAGTTGTCATTATAAATTCAAATTTTTTATTTTATTTTTTTGAGATTTCAGCTTCAGGGACCTTTATTGTTAAACAATAAACAAGTACCTTTATTGTTGAGCCTTTTATATTATCATTTCCTTTGTTCATTTAGCCTCAATAAAAAGTCAAAAGCCTTTTCTATGATAATTTATCCTTTTTTATTGTTTTCCCCTAACCTAATATGCTTATACATGTTTTTGGATATATTTATGTATTTAGGAGGAAGAGAGGCACAAGAAATTAATGAAGAAAAAAAAAATAAATAGCAAAATCAAAAAGTTAGGCAAAGTTTAAAATAAAAGGCCAAAAATGGCTTAGTGAAAAAAAAAAGTTGAAAAAAAAGAACAAGATGCCTCAAAGTTTTGAAAGTTCCAAAGTTTTAAAAGTTTCAATATTAAGTCCAAGAAGTTCAAGAAAGTAAGCAAAAAGGGTGTTATGAGCCTAAAATTTCCTTGTTCCTACCTTGACCCATCTCTTACATTACAAGTCTTCAAGACCTTTTGATCTTGAGTCAAGTATATAAGTTTAACATTAGTGGAAAGGAAAGAAAAAAGTAGACATATGAAGCATATTTATCTTTGAGTTAATATATGACGATGTATTTTACATTCTTTTTGCTTAAATTATATGTATAGATTAGAGATTGAGTAATTTCATATGCATGAAGATTGTATGAGATTGAAAGCTTACTTTTTCAATGAGTTTTGTGTGAATCTATGTTTGTAATTACCTTTGTATTATGCTATAATACATGATTGAGAATTTGTGCAGTTTTTGACTTTATGCGCATGTATATTGATTTTTAGTGATATTAATTTGTGAGCTTTGCTTGAGGACAAGCAAAGGTTTAAGTGTTGGGGTATGATAGCACTTAAAAATATAGAGATTTTCAACTTCATTTTTATTGAAAAATTTTAAAATTTGTTTGAATTTGGTGAATTTAATGTGGTTTTTCTTGATATATAGGTTTTTCTACTTGGAGTAGAATTTCTACTCATTTTAGGGCAAGAGATCATGCAAGATTAAAACAAGCATTATTTTTGCAAGATTCAGCTAAGCATGTAAGGAATGGATACAAAATTGACTTGAAATAGGAATTATGATGGCACTATAACTTCTACATTGATTTGGTTTTCCCATTCACAAGAGCACTTCTCGATGCACATGTGATAATTGAAGAGTTTTGATCAAGAAAAGACTCTAAAGCATTCGACCAAGAGAGTTTTTGTCTAACTATGACTTTTTTAATCTTCATTTATAGGGTTGTATTTCAAGAAAGATTTATGAAAGATAAAATCTCAAAAGAGTGGATTGAAAGCAACATATTTGTAAACATCTAATTTTGTTTGGATAAAATCACAGCCATTTGTGAAGTGCTTAAAATTCAACCCAATTCAAATCCAACATCTCTCTAATTTTGACAAAGCTCTAAAATCGAAATTCAGACCAATTTGACCTAAACATCCCAAAGTTAACTCCCGTCAAATTAGGTCAAACTTGGTCAACAAAGTCAAAATTAGGCAAAACTTGATCAAAATGGATAGAACCTAGGTCAACCCTCAAAATTCACAATCAAATTGAAATCAATGTGGTTTAAAATGGAAATTTTTTATTTTTAAAGCACTTAAAAGTTTGATTGCATTTCGAGAAATATAAAATTACCAAAACGCATTTAGAGGTATTCTTCGTAATTTGACTTTTTTGAAGTCAAATTTTTGTGAAAACTTTCATATCATAATAGAATTATTTTTTAATGATTTTTTTTTTTGCATTGGAAACCCAAAGCACACATTGAGAGAAATGAAATTACCAAAACACCCCTTAAAGATATTTTCGTAATTTAACCTTCCTAAGATTGGAATTTCGTGAAAACACTTTAGATCATTGTTTGATATTATTTGATGATTTTTAAAATTTTAAAAACCTTGATTGTAGCTTAAGAGGTGAATAATTATCAAAATACCCTTTAGGGGTAATTTCATAATTTGATCTTATCGAGGTTAGTTTTTCATGAAACTTTTCATATCATAATTTTATAATTTTTGATGATTTTCAGTGCATTTAGAATCATAGCAATGCCTTGAAAGGTATGAAATTATCAAAATACTCATTAGGGGTAATTTTGTAATTTGACCTTCTCGAGGTCAGATTTTCACGAAAATTTTTAGATCTTGAATTCATAATATTTCATAATTTTTGGTGCTTTAAACTGTAAAATGAGCATAGGAGCATTGATTTCTAAGAAAATGGCCTAAATATCGAAAGCTTTGCACTAAAGGTAAAATGATCTTTTCACTTGATTTAAGGGCTTTAAAAATCCAATCTTTGTAGTGAATAATGTGGACCATTGGATCTCATGAGGAATCTTGATCCAATGGCTAAAGGTTGCTACTTGGATTAAAGACAAGGTGAAAATCTTTGCCCTTGGATTATGTTTTGATCCTATGGCTATAATTTAAGGTTGGTAACATATTTTCCATCTTCTTCAACATTCAAAGGGAGCCTTTTTTGCATGAAACTAAAGGAGAAGACCAGCTCATAAAAAAGGAAAAAACAAATAAAAAAGAAAGAAAAAAACTTTGGTGCTTTGCTTGAAAGTATCCATATCAATATTCATCTTTTGCATTTTCTAGCATCTTTATCTTTTTTTCTTTTCAATGTATTATCATTGTGTTTCATCCATTTCGTGTTTGATTTTCTTGAAGGTTTTTTTGTCTATTTTTCTTACACAAAGTTTGCATCAATTTTCATCTAACTAATCAATAGTTAGATTGAAGCTGAAATCCAAACAAAAACAACAAAATTCATTATTGATAAAACCAAGTTGAAGGTTCAACCATGGTGTCCTTCTTGTTGGCCGAACCTTATCTTGGCTTCATTGATGGTTTATTTGCTCCTTAAGCTTGTTTGTGATGTGTAAATGACTAGTTAGGTTGATTTTTATATAAATTTTGGTTGGTTAATGAGGTATATTAGTGTTTGGTTCATGCTCAAGTTTTTCATATTTTCCTTAGTCTTTTTAGCTTACTTCATGTTGGATAAATGTTTTTTTATGATTCAAATGTTTTATATGATGAATGAGTAAGTAAATGATGCTTGTTTGGATTGAATAGACTGAAAGCATGCTTAAGGAAACATCATGGAGGGTTCAACGATTGTGCTTATCTTCTTAGCCAAAACTTATGATTGGTTTGATGAATATTTGTTGCTTGATTCATGATTGATGGATGATGTTTTAGTTATATTTTCCATGTTTTCATGTGGTTAGATCAAATCTAATGGAAAAGGTTGTTTTAATGGGTGTTTTGAATAAAATATATTATTGTTTGGCTGATACTCTTGTTCATAAGATTTTCAAGTTATATTAGTTCATTAAGTGTTTGATGAAATTGTTCTAATAATTTTCATATGATTGATGCTCATTTGGGATGAAGTAGGATGAAAGAATGTTTGAGAAGTATGCTAGATAGGTTTGGCCATGGGATGCTTGTGGTTGCCAAACCATACTCATTGTTTCATGTATGTTTGATGCTTTAATTCTTGCCTTTGATTATGTTTTTAGTTTAGCAAGTTTCTAACATGTTTGAACAAAAATTTCATTAAAAAAATGATAGTTTATTAGGATGTTTGCTTGATTTTTGAAGTTGTTTAGTTTAGTTGAATGATGAATAATGGTGGAACATTCAAACTAAATTCAAAGGTCCTTTTTTTTTTATGTTTAATCCATTTTATTTTTGAATTTTCATGCATTGCATGTTTATGATATTAAGTTTGAAAACATTTTAGTTTGTAATTATTTTTCAAGGTCATGCATTTGACACATACATTTATTAATGGCATTTTTATAATTTGCATTTATTTCATATCCTTTTTTATAAAACCAAAAAATAAAATAAAATAAAACCCCAAACTTAATCCCCAAATTTAAAACCTAAAATCCCATAAAACCTTAATTCCCAAACCTTAAAACCTAACCCCAAACTCTAAACCCTAAACCTTAAACCCTAAACCCTAAACCCCAAACATAAATCCCAAAACCTAAACCCTAACCTTAAACCCAAAACCCTAACCTTATCCCTAACCTTAACTTAAACACTAACCCTAAACCTAAACCGAAACTTTAACCTTATACCCTAATACTTTACCCTAAAACCCTAAACTTACACCATAACTCTAAACCATAATCCCAAACCCTAAAACTAAACCTAAACCCTAACCTAGACCCTAGACCAACCTTCAAACCCTAAATCAATCATGTATTTGCATTTCATTTTATCTTGTCATCACATGCATTTTGATATGATCATGCATTTTATACTTTATTCATATTATATTGTCATACAAAACTGTCTCTTAAGATCTCATTGGTCAACATATTCTCCGACAACTAAGTAATCTTTCCCATTTCATCTTCTAGCTTCATATAAGACTAACTAAACTTATCATTTAGTCATCGGTAAAAAAAAAAGTAAAAGGGGAATGAGCAAACCACAGCTCAGTAAGTATAGGCTCACACACTTTACCGAATCAAGCATCATTTTCATACATATCATATAGATCATTCAAAACATTTGCCAAATCATAATGTCAAAACATTTCAAAGATCATCGTTCTGGCAAACATTTTGCAAACTCAAATCAATGTTAAAACATGTCAATTCAT